TCTGTTAACATAAGTCAGTCACCCGTTTATTAATACCTACAGGCAGATTAAAAAACATGATAGTAATGAATGTTTTTGTTAACCATTTTTTAGATTACATTTTACGAAGTGCTATAAAGAAGGGTGTATGTATTGTATGTATAATCAGGTTCATGCATCAAACATCTGCACTGTAAATGCTGATTAATACCAAGCTACATGTATTATTCCTTCCCCAAGACATCCCATGTCAAACAAGATTTGAAAAAAACTCTCTCTCCAAATTATACGTTTTGAGAGTAGGAAATAATATTGATAAAAACGTGAACCTTCTATTGGCTAGAATCGGCTTTTGAACTTCATTAGTGGATGGTGAATATGTGATATATGGATGCGTATGGCCTGTATTTTTCTGGTGATATGCAGCCAATTCTATCAAATATCAAGTGTTTTTCATGATATAACAAAGTGTTATTATATTTAAAGTTGATTAAACTCAGTTCTCGAAACTTGTTTATTACTAATTTTTAAATAAAAGGGGACTCCCCTATTCAACATGAAAAATATCACACCGTGATTGTAATGATATATCAATATCTGTATTTGCAGAATGAGTTTAGCCAACGAATGCCGAGGTATAGCTCTCAAACCACTAACTCGTGGTGGCCGAATGGTTAAGGCATCTGACTGTGAACGATCACTAGTACTCTACCACTGGTTCACTATTGCCGAGTGGTTAATGCGTCTGACCGTGCACGGTCACTAGCTGTCCACCACTGGTTCACTTTGGCCGAGTATGTAAGGCGTCTGACCGTGTACGATCACTAGCTCCACCACTTGTTCACTTTGGCCGAGTAGGTAAGGCGTCTGACCGTGTACGATCACAAGCTTTCTACCACTGGGTCGCTTTTTTGAGGCGTTCGTGAGGCAGTTACCAGGTACTGGCAGTAGGTCGGCGGTTTTATTCCGTTTTAGTTACAGCCACGCACTCTTTGGTTAGATATTATAACCTAACATACCTACACATTTACACGAATTTCACCGGTTAATTAATACCTACTGGCAGATCAAAAATCATGATAGTAATGAATGTTTTTGTTCACCTTTTTTTAGATTTCATTTTACGAAGTGCTATAAAGAAGGGTGTATGTATTGTATGTATTATCAGGTTCATGCATCAAACGTAAATGCTGATTAATACCAAGCTACATGTATTATTTCTACCCCAGGACATCCCCTGTCAAACAAGGTTTGGAAAAACTCACTCTCCAAATTATACGTTTTAAGAGTAAGAAATAATATTGATAACAGCGTGGACCTTCTATTGGCTAGAATCGGCTTTTGAACTTCATTAGTAGGAAGTGAGTATGTGATACATATCGACTGTGTTTGTATGACCTGTATATTTCTGAGGATAAAAAGCCAATTATTTCAAATATTGGTAAAAAAAATCATAATATAACCTTTCTTCGCACATTATTTTTATTCGATTAACCTTGGAGGAGACACTACCCTATATTCATAAAAAATATCATGGTCTGAAATACTTAAACAAATATGTTTGCCACTGAATGTTGTTGTAGAGAGAGAACTTAAATACGCAATGCCTTATGTCTAATCCTGTTGTCTCCTTTTTATCAAAAAGAATGTTGAATTCAACAAGAACCTTCTCCGCATGCAATGTTAGTTTTGGGAACATAAATCACATCGACACTGTACACATATAAGAACATCCACACGATTCGTTCTATTTAGGGCTGGTGAATTATATAATGAGCATATACGAAGACACACCTATGTATTGAATTACTACGAAGTCACACCTGTATACAGTCTACGTCAGAGGGCGTTGGTAACTAACGATTATGCATTTACTGTTAGGTATATAACGCGCAAGACAATCAAACTACATAATTGAAACAGAAATTGACATGGAACATAAGGCATTAGTAGGGTTATTGCTTGAAGTGTATGAAACCACATTCTCAAGTTTTCATTTAAATGTCTTTATGAACATTGGCCAACCTATCTCATCACAATCGTTTAAAGTTGGTATATAAATACCAAGGAATCAACCACTTTATAACTACTGTACAATCATTATGGGAACCAACGAACAAAGTATGAACAATGCTTCTTTTTCGTTGTGCACAGAATGGAATCAAGAACATCCAGGAGAGGAACGGTTTGGGTTTTGCGTAGGAACCATAACTGAAATGTATTTGCTTCTTGGATCGGTACACTCCGCACTGGTTACATTCTTTTTAAATTGGATATCAACAGCAGTTGAATTCTGCGACACGATGTCGTTGAAAAATGCATTGCCGGACTACACAAAATGCATGCAAGAATATGGATATGCCTTTGGATATTGCTTGGGGGCTTTTAACGAAACAAACAGTACTGACTTTTGGCAATGTATTCATTTAGCAAAACAATTCAAAGAAGCAAACCCCGATACGGTTTTTACGAAATGGAGATTTATGGAGATTCTTTGTGATGGAAGTGCTGTCTCCTATATCTGTGAAGAATACCACTACACAAGGAACTACGTATTCGACATCGAAATGCAATATTTGGATACACAAGCGAATATGTACTATTTTAGTTATATTCTACCCACTATTGGCATCGTTACTTTAATTTTAAATGGGATTGCATTATTTATTCTCACTGCACACATGTCGACAGGTTGCTATACATTTTTGTTACGCATGAAGTGCCTGTTTGATGGACTTACAGTAATGTTTCAATTTCCAATTATCATTTATTTCATCACGTTTCAGGGGAATGATGATTTCAAAACTTACTATGTTTGTGTCTTGATAATTATTTTTATGGAATGTCTACCAATGTTTTCTCACACTGTTTCCATTTTTATGACACTAGGAATCGCTTTTCAGAAATTCTTTATCATCTCATTTCCATTAAAGGCTAACATATATCTGAGAACCAAATACGCAGAAATGTATACTGTGGTTGTAACTTGCATTATTTTGCTTATGCTAACACCCATGTTCATAGCAGTCTGTAATATGGAATCTATACAAGTTGAATCTAAGGAGGTTGCAAATAAACTCATAACCGCTATGATTATGGCTCTGCCGGGTGATCATTGGGTAACTTATGTTAACAGATTTAACTATATACTCAGAACCGTCATTCTTCAATTTTTTCCAAGCTTGTTCTTGTTGGTATTTGAGATTATCGGAATGCGTGCAAACATACGGTACTTAAATTCGAGGCAAAAATTAGTCAATGTCGAAAAATCACCATCTTCAAATCTTGTCCAAGTAGTGCATATGTCAGTGGCAAATGTGTGCATATTTCTTGTGGCTGAACTACCTAATACAATAGCACTGTTTTACTTTTCAATATCTGAAAACGATTCGTCAAACAACTCCCTACAAAGAAAAGAATCAACTCTTGTGGCTACAGTGTTAGATATTCTTACGTGGCTCTCAACTGTCAGCAACTTATTCGTATGTCTTCTATTTTGTCGAAGATTCAGGACTGCATGTTTGGACGCGATTCGATGTTCGAAGCGTTAAAGTCATGTAGTTAATCATGAAAGAAATATTGTATGTCTGTCTAAGGATGTATCTGCACTTGGTTGTTTGTAGTTCCAGCAATGCTACTCCCGTTAAAATAAATCTGCATTTTTGTGTTATTTGTAGAACACCAAAATATTTAAAAAACATTTTGTATTCAAATAAGGTCGCATTCAATAAAAATAAAAAAATCCTTATTCGTTTAATTACTTATCTATTTCGCTGTTATTGTTGTTGATGATGATGATGATCATGATGATGATGTATGCTAAATAACCTGATGATGATTATGATGATAATGAAGATGGATGTGGTAGTGGTGGTGTTAGTGATGATGATGTGTGGTTATTCTATGGGGTTTGTGGAGGCACGGTAGTCTAGTGGTAGGACTCCGGGCTCGTGGCCGAAAGGTTGCGGGTTCGAGTAACGTCACGGCACTGTGTTGTATCATTGAACAAGATACTTTATCCCGTTTATTCCAGTCTACTCAGCTGTAAATGAGTACGGGATTCGGCAGTTTGGGCAGTGATATAATTGTTGAATGCTAGCCGTGAGCGCCGAAATAGCAGCGCCGGCTGTATGCTTCCCAGGGAGTTGAGAAACATATTGGCTGGTTGCAAAGGACCTATAACCACTTATAATTATTTGTGAACCGCTTTGAGACGACCTACGAACTAGGATAAAGCGGTATATAAGAATATCGTATTGTTATTATGAAAATAAGACTACCGATAAAATATATACATTTAAAGAAGATTTGTTCTCAAGAATGATATGTCATAATTGTACAAGCCCTACTGAATCACAACTTATTTCATTTGGACAAGATAAAAATAACGTTACATTAATAACTAAAATGCAAATACTACAACCTCCCAATTTTACGACTTATTTATACATAGCGATTAAAATAGACGCTTTTAGCTGCATCTTCAGTTTTATAGGTGAAGGACTTTGAATATTTGTTTCTGAATTTTAAAGATGAACGTTACACGCACAGAGTATTGCACCTTGAAAATTGAGTAATATATACCGTATGTCAAAAATGAATCATACAGCTGTCTCGTCCTTCTGGGACTCATCGGTGATGCTAGGGGCTTAAACTATGGATATTCAATTAGCTCTAAACTACTGTAGAAACAATAGGGAAGGTGCAAAGAAATACTTATTTTATAAAGTTTTACAATTTATAGTACTGGTTAATTTCGAATAAATACTTAAAGTGTGTATATTATGATCCAAGCCACAACTCCAAAGAGATAATTATGACCACCAAGGTTGCAACAAACCACGGGTACTAGCTTTTCACCAGCAGAGTATACCACCTTGTATATAGCAAACACACATACCAATGACCGACTCAATATGGATCCTATCGGTATAGCAAAACATTCAAACTGTTATTAGACTTCATGTAGGGTCCGAAACAATAACATCCGATTGTATGAACACGAACACCATAAACATGCATTCTTTTATTTATTGTGACAAAACCGTGAATAAAGCGATGTTGTAAGGCATATTTTACAAACTATCTTTCGATAAAACCGGTGTTTTCCGCAGTTGTACGCTGGTATGACTGCAGTGTTGGTCAAAAATCAATATCTGTAAAATAAATAAACAACAACTGTGGAGACTCATAAAGATTTACCCCAAACCCCCAATTCCCAATCCATAACCTGGTGGTCGAGTGGCGCAGAGGAAAACGCGCCCGTCTTTTACGAAGGCGACTGGGGTTCGAGTTCCCGATCGTGCGTTAAAATGTATGGGGTCACCTGCCCAACCACGTGGGTTTTCTCTGGCTACTCCGGGTTCCTCCCTCATTAAGGCCCCTGCACTCTGACATCCAGGCCGCCAACAAGAGTGATTTTTATGAGTTGAAATAACTTGTTTTCATAATTGTTATGAAATAAATATAGTGTAGGATAAAAAAAATCATGAATATTTAAAAAGTGTTCAGTGTCATAGTATGGTCATTTATTGATTATTCATGCTACGTAATCGCCTCATAAGTCCATACAGTAAATGTTGTTCAAAATAAAGGGAGACAATTATAATAATGACATAGCAGAAAAGACATGCAAACTGGGAAACTAAAGTTAGTACCAAAATATTTTTAAATTTTTCTCTAAATATTTCTTTCATACAACACATCTAAGCCATATAATCGTATGGATTTTACTGCAAATAATAACAAGGCATCACAAGTGATACAAATCACCTCGCATTCACATATTGTGACATATGTAAGAGGAAATGAAGTCGCTAGAGCGATTACAAAGTTTTTTCTTAAAATAGTTAAAGTAACCTTGACCTTTAACACAGTAACATAAAAACGCAAACTTGTTCAAGACATTGCCTTACCAAACACTTGTATGAAGTTTCATGAAGTTGCATTGAGGAATGAGGTCAATAGAGCGATGACGAAGATATTTTGAAAATAGTAAAAGTGGCGTTAACCTTTAACGCAGTAACCTGAAACGCGAACTTGTTCAAGGTATTGTCATATCAAACACTTGTATAAAGTTTTATATAATTCTGTTGAGGAATGAAGTCGCTAGAGTGATGGCAAAGTTTTTTTTCTAAAACTAGTAACAGTGACCTTGACCTTCAACATAGAAATCCGAAACGCAAACTTGTTAAAGGTATTGTCATACCAAACACTTGTATAAAGTTTTATATAATTCTGTTGAGGAATGAATCCGCTAGAGTGATGGCAAAGTTTTTTTTCTAAAATTAGTAACAGTGACCTTGACCTTCAACATAGAAATCCGAAACGCAAACATGTTAAAGGTATTGTCATACCAAACACTTGTATCGATTTTCATGAAATTCCATTGAGGAATGAAGTCGCTAGAGCGATGACAAAGAGTGTAACATACGTACGCACATACGTACGGGCGGAATACTATTTCCCCTCGAACTTTCGTTGCGAGGGGATAATAATGTTATAGTGAAGTTCCACGCCGATAGCTTTCGCTTCATTTATGATCCCTAACGACTGCAAACTATGCACTATGCTTTGAAAAATATCCATCTTCATGATTATAAAATAATTTCTAGACAGAAAACTAGACTTTTCTGAAAAATTATTAAGACGAATGAACAAGCCATTCGGATTGATATGTCTCACCTGTGCCCCGCGTTGACCATCAAAGCACATGTCAAGTTTGGTTGGTGTAGCACTTTTAGTTTCAGAGAAACTAACTTTAACGCAAAAACTTCATGTAGACGCCGCCGCCGTCGGTGTGAAAGTCAATGGACTATGAAAGGTAGGCTGCATCCACCATCTGATGCATTTATTGTCCAAGATTGGTTGGTCTAGCACTTATACTTTCAGTGAAACTAACTTAAACGCAAACATTTTATGTTGACGCCACCGCCGTCGTCGGAAAAGCAACACCTTAGTCTCACTTCCGCTACTTCGTGACGGCGAGACAAAAACGTTTCGAGAGATAAAAAAGAGACTAGGTTTCGAATATTGATATGCAATTATTAAACTCTCGCTCTAACCGACTGTGCTTCCTGGTCAACAGTGGTACCCTGGCCAAGTCACACTTCAGTTATTACCAAAATGAAAAGTAAGTGATACCTGTAATCTCGAAATCTTTTGTGATTTTTCTACAGTGGGAAAAGGATCCTTAACGTTTTTGATTAGGACGCACGGTAGTCTAATTGTAGGACGCCGGGCTCGTGACCGAAGGGTGGCGGGTTCGAACAAGATGATTTACTTCGCTTGTTGCAGTCTACTCTGCTGTAAATGAGTAGGTGATTGGGCAGTGCTAGAATTGTTGAATGCTAGCTGGGAGCGCCGACATGTCAGCATCGGCTGTATGCTCCCCAGAGAGTTGAGAAAGTTATTGGGTAGTTGCAAAGGTCCTATAACCACGGATAATAATTTGTGAACAGCTTTGAGACGACCTACGAAATAGGTTATGATAACGCGCTATATAAGAACCTCGAATTATTAATTAATATTATAACGTATTTTATTTTATTTCCGAAAAAATCATATATGGGACTTCTGTATACCTCATTCTGTCCTTCTTTCAGTAGTGTCCCTGGGACATACAGCGTCATCAAAGGCCCTACGTTCCAGTATCGACCCAGGTTGAAACCGTTGATTAACACAAAGCCCTTACACCAGTCCTGGGTATGATACAAGCAGAATTCATGCAATATATGAATGCAACCATTTTGCGTTCTCACAAGCATGAATGTTCATGAGATTCTGGTCAATTCACATGTTTGTCTATATAAACATAAAGATAACAATTACGTCGACCTAGTTCTCTGATGATAATTGCAACAATAAGTTATCTAAATTCTATGTCGAATGTTTCACTAATAATTGTTATAATAAAGAGAAACAAAAGCGTCAAATGATACGTGAAAGGCTATGCCATTTGATTAAGTGGTAAATGAATGAATTCATTTTTGGACGATTCAATTCATGAAATTCTAATGAAGAAACATATAAAATCATCACATGTAACAGATAAGGTTATGCAATTTACTATTATAAGCAAAAACGTAATTCGTCAAAAAAAACGTTTGGGACCAATAAGGACAGCAGCAGCAAATAGCAATGCTTACCGTCATCCAAAGGAAGGTGTCCGCCTTGTTACTGGATATATCAAAGCGCCCCCTATACAGAGTAGGAGAACTCCTGTTTATGTCCCCAAGCGTGGTCCATGTACCATCAGCCAGTGTCCTTCAAATTTACAAAAAAATTATAACTCAGGGAAAATTCATATAATTGCGAATTCAGGATTTCCGGAAGTGTAAGTGTTTCTTACATTGGAGGTATATTATGCATGCGTAAATCTTGTAGTTAACAAGACTTTTTTAGACAAATTTTGCTTTTGATTACTTATCTACTGTATTGAAAACTGGTCTCGGAGGCATTAAAACATGCTTGAAACAACTCAATTCAAACAAAAAAGGACAATAATATTTCAAATATTGTATTATAAGTCATGGCTTTTTTATACACTCGGTTCTTTTAGGGTTTTTTTATGGTCATTTTTTTGTTACATCACCTATATTTACCAAACGTTATATAAAAATGTATCGTAGGAGGGTGGAGTGTCACATTTTAAGAACGGGTCTTGCGCTCCACTGTGGTCATAATAACGACGTAGTAGTCTGGGGATTTGTACACAAGGAGATTGTTTTTATATTAACAGAATGTTTGCATTAAAAATATAGCAAAGGTTGAATGGTAAAAAAAATCACACAGATAAATATCTACCAAAAAATATTATGACCAATTCTAGTTTAATAAGCATTACTTTTCAGTAATATCTGTGTAATTAATTGCGGAAAATGGTCATAAATTTGATCATTTGATCAATAAGAGTAAGGAAAATGTTAACATCACAAAATGAAATAAGAGGTGTTCACCTATTGATGAATGCGTCGGAAAAGTCCATAGGGTATATTTTCCAGTGGCGTATCACTTGGTCGTCAAGTAGAATGTCGGAATTAATACCTAGGATAGCAATAGTAAGTCCATAGCAAATACATAGACATTAGACATATTTAAAATCATTTCTTACACTGTAGCCGTTATAAAAGAAAAATACAAAACAGTTGCGACATACATTACACTCTCACTCTTTCTACCATCTCACTCCACACTGTAGAACAGACTGCCATAAATACTCTTTTATTCCCAGAACTATCCCAGACTTGAACAACCTTCCACCAGACCTGGGCCTCTATTCATGAAACCGTTCTCATGCTCAAGCATTGATTTTGTACTCAAACCAACTTTCTTGTAACTCAATTAAATCATGTCAAACGATCAAAAAGTCAAACGTAGACACTTTAAATAGTATTTGGCTTTAAGTCTCTTCATTTTCACCCCAAGTCATTGACAAAATAAGATTTCATTATTAATTTATAAACAGAACAAGAAATTAGGCATGAGCACAAAATCCATACTTGAGCATGAGAACGGTTTCTTGAATACGGGCCCTGGTCTCATCTGAAACTTTGGAAACCTTTAAAAGTCGTCTCACTCTCTTTTCCTCTTTTACATAAATACAACCTAAACATCGACATGATCTTTAATATGATGAAGTAGGTCAATTATCAGGTAGAAGTAGCAGAAGTAGATGATAAATAATATCTACTCGTAAAATACATAATATATACTACATATACAATTTATATTGTATATAATACAAAGATAATTAGTAATATAGTAGCATATGCAGACATGTACTACGGTATACTATTATTCCTTGTTGACATAAATGTATCTTGTACATAAAATGGTAAAACGTTATATAAAACATATTCTAACCTATAACATCCTGTCAAATAAATGACAATACCAAACATCTGACATGTTTAAAAGATTAAAATACCATTCTAAAGACTGCGAAAGACTTGTATACCATCTAGACATAATTAGTATCTGGCATATTAATGCGTCATATGATCCGTATTCTAACATATCACATGGTGTAAAAATAACAGACAACACATAGCATCGTACATCTCACAATCCTACCAACCCCGATCAAATCATAAAGAATACAACATAGACTCATCTTGATAACACTTTTACACGGCGTCGAGACGAAATATGGCCTTTCATGTATCAGTGGGCATCGCTCCTTAACGATACCACACGGCAGCATGGCACAGCATATACAAACCTTTGCGTTGCTCGTTGAGAAAATTATACGAAAACAAAGCGTAATTGACACGTCCCCGGTTTTCCACCAGTATTCCAAGTTCCATTTCCTAACCAAAACAATCCAAACAATCACAGTGATACACGATAATTAATATGACAAAGACAAAAATAGTTTTCAACAAATGTTGGAAAGCTCATTTAACCCTTTCACCCCTAGGTAACTTGAATAGACTCTACCATACATTCATCTGGATGATTCCATTATGGTCTACAGTGGTGAAAGGGTCAAACCCTACCATCTGCTTGAAGAAAATAGAAATTGGGACATCAACGTTTGAAGGAGAATATGTTAGTGTATTCGGATAGTGTAACAATAGGGAAAATAGGATAATGCTTGTGATTGAGGGACATGTACTGTAAAAAGAAATCGTTCAAACAAAGACAAAATCAAAAACATTACAAGAAAAGGCAGCAACAGGAACGTCCTAGTGCTTTATAACGTAATCCAACCGAACATGCCGATAAAAAAAATAGCTTAGAGCAGAAAAGTCTTTAGATGGCGACAATTTTCCGTCTTCTCCGAGATATTAAGACAACAAAAGCAAAAATAATCTTAATATGGCGACAGTTTCAGCCTTCGCCGAGAATTTCCGACGGCACATCACGGCTTTCATTCTAGTGACTGCTAGCTTGCTCGTCATTCATTTCCATTTTTGACCGCAGCATGTAGCTCATTTAATGAAAACCACGGCCAAAGATGATAACTAGAACCCTTAAATTTATCAGTTAGAGTATTCTGGTATGAATAGGTAAAAATAATGCTCAGCCGCATTGAACGTTTTGTTCTGAATACATATACATTGTATGTATATACATTTTTTATTATATAAATTATTGAAATATACCGAAGGAAAGTCGTCACGACTCTTTAAACCAAGGTTAATGTAGTGTTACCGCGTGACACATACACAATTCATTAGAAAGATTTCCCACATAGGATTGCACCTTTAAAAGTTCGGTAATAAATACAGTTTGCCAAAGTTGATTTATTCACATTTATTCACTGCATCATGCACCTGTTGCGGCCTTAAAGAACTAATTGGTGATGCTAGGAGCAAACCGTTTGGAATCTAAATTGGTCTATACTATTCCTGAAACAGAAAGAGAGATGTGTTATACCCTTTTACTTACGAATTTCAAAACTTAGAGGAATATTGGTTAATTTCAAATTAAACCTCGGGGACTAACAAATACACCAGCAGAGTTTACCGTCTTGTTTCTTAAAAAATGCACATGACACTCACAGGTGATTCCACCGTTAAAATCTGGTAATATATACAGTAAGCCAAAAAAGAATTCGATTTAAGAAGCCTATATTAAAAACATAGCAAGTCGATGCATTAAGCCATATAAAGTAAACATTTACTGAACTTAATTAGGTTCAACAAGTACCCAAAATAGAATAGTCACCTAACACTTCAACCCCCTGATAAGCATCGAAATTCAGATATGTAACTTGGATATAACAAACTTTTTCTGTTGATATCACACACGGCAACACAAGGCACGGAACGGCACGGCACGTCACTGTGTTGTATCTTTGAGCAAGATACTTTACGCCGCTTGTTCCAGTCTACTCAGCTGTAAATAAGTACGTGGTTGGGCAGTACTAGAATTGTTGAATGCTAGCAGTTAGCGCCAAAATGGCAGCTCCGGCTTTTGGCTTCCCAGGGAGTTGAGAAAGGTATTGTCTGGTTGCAAAGGCCCTAAAACCACGGATAATAAGTTTTGAACCGCTTTGAGACGACCTACGAACTAGGTTGTGATATCGATATATATGAACCTCGAGTTATTGTTATTATTATTTATCATTGCATTAAATGGTAAAAACCGACGGTTCCTTCATCAAAATTGAGGCATTACGGCTGATGTTTTCATTAAAATAGTTCATTGGCACTATCACATGTCAATCTCTTTTGTGACCAATCTGAATATTACGAAATTACAAATTATATCTTAAAGGGCCGGTTTCCAAAACGGCCCCTTCTCTGATTCCAATTTCCTGTTGGTGGTGCATTGCCCATGCCGTTGTGGTCACAAATCTATAAAGTATTAAGATTTAGGTCACTTGGTTTGTTTTTTATGGCTCCTCAAAATTGTACCTTTCAGAAGCTGTCTAAGTGTTGATAAAATGTGCATGTTATGTAAAATATTAATGAAAATCTAATCAAATGATGGTCACCGTAAAGAATACATTCATGGCATGATTGTGACAAAAAATCATGTTTCCATCGCGCCATTTGGCTGTTTTATGGAAGAAACAATCTCAAAAATGCCATTTTCGATGATAACATTTTAGACACAAAAACTGTGTTTTTTAGAGAATACACCCTTTTATGGGCGTTGGATGCAAACCAATTTTTATCCTATTAAACAGTACGTAATATGCTATTGATGAGAGGAAAAATCATCAAAATGTAAGTGGTGGAACATTTTCAAATGTTGGGTTGAATTAGCCTATGGTTGAATTGCCGATTTTCGACTTTCTTTAGATAATTAACAAAAAAACGAGAGTATTTGCTCGGTATGTTGAGAATATGTACACAGATATGAAAAAAAGTGAGAGAAACACTTTTTCATAAAAAAAATCCAAGATGGCTACTTCACAAGTCCCCGTGGTTGAAGACATTGGCTGACAAATAGACAGAACAACAAACAAAACGTGTTCCTTATGATTTTGGTTGGTTTTCGCATTTACGGGAGTGTTCATAGCTACGGGCGATTGTATAATACCTATATTTATAAGTTTGGTTAGTCACATGGTAACGGGGATCTTTCATATCGAGCCCCAAACATACTTTCGACATATGCACTCCGTTGCCGCATGGAAAACTATTTCAAGTTTTGTCGGAATTTCTTTACCTGTGGTTGTAATGGTCGAGGGTTTTCCAGCGTCCTGTAATACCCAAGGTAGTACAAGATACTGGAGATGTGCGCACACATTCCCATCGTTCTCTCTCCAACTGGGCACTGGCAGTAGTAGTCCTTTATTGGGGCCTCAACATCGGGTGAAACGGTGAACCGTATCCAAACGTTATATTTCGTTTGGCTTTTGTGTCGAGAATGTATTTGACATCGGAGAAGGTCTGGGGAGTGCTGGTAAAGCCACACCTCATAGTCTCCGTCATCACTTAAATGTTCGGCGATGTAACCAGGAGCCAGAGATATCTGATACGTTCCACACGTAATGGTTCTCAAGTAATCAAGATCGAGACGGGGAAACAGTACGGAAGATGCATCCATCTTGACAAACTCGGACCTTGCCCGTCTAGATAGATCCGGATCTGTCTTGACTCTCTGAGCTAAACCATTCGGTGTTGTCAAACGGTCCTTCATACGTTCAGCCATTAGCCTATCTTTGGCATCTCTCTCTGGAGATCTCTGGTAGATCGGTCCTCTAATACCATTCAGACAGGCTGTGACGGTTCGAAGCAAAGCCTCGATGACATTGATAAAGCTGTTAGACACCAATTGCGTTCGGAAGAACGTCCAGTGTTTCAGACGACCATGATAGGATTCCACAATCCACCTCGATTTGGTGATAGTTCTGTCAAGATTTGCTTGGACGTCAGAATGTTGACTTTGACCGGGTTTCAGGTATGACGGCATGCTAGCATTGAGGCCAGAGGCTTCGAGAACTGGTAGGACATCTCTAAAACCTCGGTCAACGACAACGTTGTCGTCTGGTTGTAGCCAAGTAACTAGCTTGTCCATGACTTTTTTTGTAATTGTAGCATCATTTTCGCTGCCAGTGAATGGTCCTACTGTGTCCAGAATGTAGCCATCTGGTAAGGCGATGCTCATGAATTTGAGATAGTTTCTCTTCTTCTGGCCACAGTAGGACATTCTCTGGAGCTTGTGGTCGGAGCTTTTCTGGATATAAATATAGGTGCCATCTAATATGGCAGTGGCTTTATCTCCAAAAAATGCTTCTGAAAAGACAGTATTGTGCCCGAGCAACTGTTCTCTTGTCAAGTGATCCGGACCTAGAAATTGTGGGACTATCGATGTGTCTAATGCCTGTACTATGGAGTGGAAAGTTTTGGACACACTTGACTTGGAAATTCCAAAAAGAGAAGAACACTGACTCCAGGAAATGTCGGTTTTCAGTTTTACCCAGAACAGTAATAGAGCATCGTGTGTAGTCTTGGTATATATACCAGATGAAAGATATGGGGAACAGTGCGAGTGGATTTCGAGGAACTGATCTTTGGACCAACCTGTCCAGGCCATGCATGCCGAGTCATCAAGAGAAGAAAAGCTTATTGTAAACGCAGACTGGTTCTGTGAAAGGACGTGCGACACCTCTAGGAGGTCATTAATGATTTCGGACGATTTTGATGGTAACTGAGATTCCAAGGAACCTCTACCATCAAGGACAACCTCTGTAGACGGATCTAAGTCGTTACCAATAAGGTGAATGGAGCAGACGCGGGATGAGGTGGGACACCACAGTTTGTGTGAATAGATCAGGTGATGTCTTGCACGTTTTGGTAAGACTGATGATTTTGTTCCATTTCTTGCAAAGGTAACAAGACAGAGACAGCATTTTTTGTGTGAAGATGATCCATTCAAAAGATCATGAAGGGTCAGCAACGGCAGGATATGGGACGGGGAGTCGTCTTCTTCCTCTATTTCCTGGTTCTGCTCGGGTTCAGGTTCAGGCTGATTTTTGTTCCGAAGATACTTCATGTAGCACTTCTGGCAAATAAGTGCTTGTTCCTTTGCTGACATCAATCCTTGTTGCACCAGCGTATCTAGGAGCCATTTATATTGTGGACTATTTACATTGCGTGCACTTCTGTTCTTATTGCCACTACGTTTCTTGAAGTATACTTGACACCCTTCTCCAACACATTTACCCTCCATCTTGAAACAATAACGATTGGTTTATGAAGCGTCGATAAAGTAACAAAATAGCAAGCCACCGATGATTGCTGTAAACAGCTAATACTTAGTAGTTTGGTACAATTATGCGAAAATGTGTGATAAATAACGAACAACTAATTACACAAAATAACAAGACAATATAATAAATCACATTCAATACCTCCAAGAAGCGCAGAATTGATTGATTACTTAGAACAAAATAAAGTATTTCATATGGATAATCTATCTATTCGATGTGGCGTGGTCGGCAGGCACAAAGAAAGTGAGACAAGTCAGGGTCCCAACCCTGACAGAGCCACAACGCTTTGGAGATGGGACAATAAAACAAGGAAAGTGAGACAAGAATAGCTAGCGTCGAGTCAATGATTCCGTAAACGTATAGACAAAGACAAGAAGATACGGATAAATGTACAAGGCCACACGATCAGAAAATTCAGAAGAGGACAACTTGAGATAGAACAGTATTCATGTATCAGGGTGTCCTCAGTGTAAATCTTTATATCGATACTGTTTATTTAGTCGTTACACATCATAAAACTGTCATGAAAATATCCGCTCTGATATTCAATATAAAAGTTTGTATATAATAAGCTATATAATAGGGTTTCAGACAAGGTTGTTACTCATTTCCCCTTTTCTTTCAATTTACAACCACATTCAGGCGGCGATATGAGAACGTTCCACCACATGGAATTAGCTGATTTTTGGTACACATATGAAACAAGTAAAGCTCTATCCGATTTTCTGATGGAAATTTGCATCCAAAACTATATAACGGGAGAAAATTGCAATTTTATTGCATTTTTCTTCATAATTGTGTCTATAATTGAGAATATTTTTTTTTATTTTTTATGAATAAACACGATGTTTTGGAAATATTTATCAAAAGAAATTTATACTATGTTGCGAATTACAATTTCGAGATAACCTTCTTTTATTTACGAACTTATGTCTTCGATGCTGAAATTGACAACTTTATAAAAATACATTTTCACTGAAATTATGAAATCTGGGTGTCGGAAAGGTGTAAAATTATTCTTCGGAAAAGAAAAAAACAGTAGTTGAGCTAGATAAGAAATTATACGGGGGCAGGCTCCCATGGAGAATTAACATTACTGGAAACAGGCCCTTTATTTATATACCTAGATCATGCAGAGTTTAGATTTTCTTTTTCTAGCTGTCGAGAGACATACCAGCTATAAATCAAAATTCGTGTGGCTTTCAGAAACTACAGGTATACTAGTAAAATAATTTGATAATATATTTTATCAGTAAATATTTACATTCTGTATGCTTAGACCCATTGACAAAAATTACATTCATAAATGCATAACACAGGTGTTCATAGAATCTCAGCACATGGGAACTGATAGTAACCTGATCACACTGCGTAGTAATACACTACAAAAACTACTCACTCGGAACGACCGACCTAGATGCTTAATTCTTACATCTTAAAATATTATTGAACTGTGCTTTGTGAAATATCCACGTATTCACGTGTCCTGTGCTACAAATAAACATTGAATATGGAACTACATTTTGTTGTGTTATTGTTGTTGACGGTTGCTAAGATTTCTCACGATAGTGTCACATTTCCCCGTCTATAAAATTTTAAACTAAGGACCATGTGTAACCGTGATGAAAGAATGCACTTCACATAACATGTATTTTTATAGTATTTAGTGTTTTTTTATAAAAAAAATATAGCTAGACACGTGTATCAAAAATCGACTTTTCATTTATAAAGAATAAAACATATGTAGCTCATTTGTATTATCACAGAATGTTATGAAATTGTACATCATATAATGCTTATTAATCAATGTAAGTTAATTAGTCTTACTTTTCTGATACACAATGTGTTAAATTGTATTACTTGTGCATTAACTGTGATTGTAGTGGTTTCGCATGGCCGCCCACTGTTTATGGCATAAACATATTAACGCATTTTAGATAATATGTCAGAAACAGTTAGTTAGGTCGCAAAAGAGATGAACATGCTTCACTGCCGATGCACTATTTTTTTTATCAAAACATCAGCTTTGAAGCTTCATTATTGACAAAGTGATCGTCTATATAACACTATGATAATAACTAATATAGCTTAATTACATACCTGAATTCTGAGGTTTAATTCCAGTATTTAAAGTATGACTGATCAGAGAGTTGAACTTTTTGGAGACCATACCATCACTTGGAGAGCTTGTTGAACATTATGGAAGTTGTGTCATTAGGACTAATCAATGATACTAAAGGCAAACAATAGAATAATAAAAGTCCGTTTATAAAGTGTTTCATGATATGTAGAAATGCATGCATTCATTTAATAAGTGTGCTTCTCCGTTGCGTTATCAACGCTGTTACATCTCATCGTTATCTTTATAACCTTACATGATGGAGGTCCGGCATGAGCATAAACAAACATATAAGATCGCCGTCTTTTTGGAGAAGACGACGATCTTTTCTTGTCTTTTGTGCGAGACTGTTGCAATTGTGCAGTGAAAGCCTCTGTTCTTACCTTCCAATAATACGTGTGTTCCTGTAAATAACCTTTTGGTATTATACTGGTTGAAGGCTATGCAATCGTTAAATGTAAGTTTGCATCATTCAATCAGCTTATTTTTTTCAGTCATTAACCATTATTTTGATACTGTATTACTTTTCTTATATCTATTGTGTATTTAAAATATGTATTTCATATAACTCTTCATGTTTGGAGGAATAAAGATATGAATGAATGAGCATAAACAAGTACAGATACACAATCTAATCATTTATGATAAGGCATAAGACAACTAGGCGCTTACCCATAGACTGTACGTAAATGTATGTCGTTAACGCTTGAGGTCACTGCAGGTAAATATATATGTATATACTCACACTACAGTGTCATGGCTCCGAGCCTTTACGCCCTTAGGATAATACTGTACAAACATGTGTCACGTACTAACGTGTATTGATTTGAACATAGTCTATGTACAAAATATATCCCGTGATAGCTCAGTTGGTAGAGCGGAGGACTGTAGTGGTTCGTTTCAAAGCTATCCTTAGGTCGCTGGTTCGACTCCGGCTCGCGGGATTTTTTCCCACTTTTTATAATGTTTGCAAAGGAGAAAAATATTGTATGGTCAAATCACTGGGTGTTTTGTTTTCTTATAAAATAATTATCTATATTTAATTACTTTTTGTAATATCCTCTTAGTTTTATTGGAAATGCAGTTTATAAAAAGGAGTTGATAAAAACATGATGGAAAGTATTATTCATAGGTTAACAGGACGCCGCATGTATCAAGAAATTCTGATTCTTAGAAAAAAAAGAACATTGAAATATAAAGTAAAAAAGCAGAAGAAGCGTGTACGTCACTTGTGAATCAAGGAATGTTGAATCGTGTAAATAAAGTAAAGGTTGCGGGCACGGTAAATCATATTTACTTTTTTTCTCTTTGTGAAATATTTGTTTATATCCTATAAAAGTATTCCATAGAAATCACATGTTGCTATGCATTTTACGAAATAGCATTTGTTTGAAATCTGAATGTTTAAAAAACTGCATTGGTCAAAACTTTGAACCCTCACATTGCAAGCCTACAATTAACATGTTTGCCATAAATGCTCCGTATCAAAATAATTGTCCAATTTATGGGGTACAAAACCTAAGAAAAACATCGACGAATGTATATCTTGACAAGGGAAATTAGACTAAGCCAGAACTTTTTTATTTCATCTTCTATATGTAATGTTCTTAGTAAAAATGATCGCTTTCTGTGGAGCTATTCTTTGTGATGATAACTGATGCAATGTTACACTTAAAATAGGTTGAATTCGTTTTGTTTGATGTAATTTGGCAATTGGTGATTATCATTTGTTTTTAACGAAGGTAAAATATATCAAGATATAAACTTGAGGAATGGGAGCCTGTGATGTCTTTTAATTTCAAATTCTAGAGAATCGTGAGATGCAATTCGATCTCGAAATTCTTGTATTTAAAAAAAAGAAACAACCCATCATACATACAATTAATATATATATAATTCACTATTGTCTATATTAACAGAACATCAATTCATTGATGCCTTCATATGTTAAAAATAGATGATACGCTAAAATTTTAATACGCTGAAATAAGAAATTTTACAGTATTATTACTTACTTACAAGGATGTGTCCATTTACTTTGTATTATTAGAGTCTAGAATTAAAGTTTATACATTTTTTATCAATGAGAGTTGTAATCAATTGAAGTACTTGAAAAATTGACATAATAACATTTTGTAAATGATAATCCGGCCACTTTGCAAGGAACAGGATCATAATAAGTGTAATATCAGCTGTTAAGAAAAAAAGGAATCTCGTTATATATTTATCAATGTTTATCCGGCTAATTTGAAATTCAAACATTGTATATCAATTAATTAAGTAGCTGATAATTGTATGAAACTCGATAAGAAAAGCTGGCCCTATGTACAAAAAAAAAAAGTTCTAGTAGAAATAATTGCACAATGAACCCGTTTGATATAAAATATGTCTGAAAACTGCAAAATACTTGGTTTCATGCAATTGTTTTGCATTAAAGTATAAATGGTCTTAAATGTATCTGTTACAAACTTTTAAAGGTACAATAACCTGTGTGGAGTTACGTTCGTGTCTCTGTATACTGTAATAAGGGCGAACTTATCATTACAGCGAATATAAGTAAACAACTTTTCAAATATTGTTATTGTATGTGAAGGGCGAAATTTACACTGGGCGAATATTGGCTTTACCGGCGGAGTGCAAAATATCCCATCAGCGTAAATTGTAATATACTACCTGTCTGTTCGATGAAGACGCAGGAATATGCAAGGTGACATTGGTATCGTGAACATCATGGATAGCCAGTGTGACGTCATCAACAAATATCTGAAATAAAAAGACATGTGATAACTAATAAAAGGACTTTCTTTCATGTCACGTGATTTATGATTTTCCTCCTGGTGAATAGATGCAGTAGCTTGCCCATATATTATGTATACACTATTATTGAACATTGGCCAATAATTATTTTGAAGGTCCTACCTTAGCGTAGGATGTAAAACAATGACATATATTTCTAAATTTGTTGTAAAAGATGTAATTTTTATTCTTCAGATATGTACTGAATTGAAAGATGTATGTCTATGCTATCGGAATAAATTATGTTCACTTTTCCCTTTTTTTTTTTAGAGAAATCCTATTCCATACATAGGAAGAAAACGTTGGATGCAAAAGGTATTTTTGATCACATATTTTTTGTTAGGGATTTCCTGAAATTATTTTATTAACCAAAGGAAGTGTTCAGGTGGAAAACTTTTAGATACATTAAAACGATATAATTTGAATCATATATTTGAATTAATAATGTTAGACGAAATATCCCTATTCAAGACCATTTTGATATCTAATGGTAGCATAACGTTATCCCTTTTTCATCTAACTCTTTTCCATTATTTACAGTAAGCCTTGGTGTAATATACTAAATTAATAAATCGCTATTATTTGACGGAAATATATAATTTTCTTATCAATAAATGAAATTCCTAGGTTGGGCCAAAAGTTAAACCCTTACTGTTCAAACTCTTTGTGGACAAAGTATTAAACGTGATTTGATTAAATTAAAATCCGGATATTAAGTGCCCCCCTCTCCCCCGTCTTTACTAACCTTACCCCTTCCTTTATCACTATAGGAATATTACTTTTAAATGCAACATATACATTAATCATCAGCAAACGATTGGGTGTATTTCAAGGTATGAATTATTATGAATTATAATTAAACGAACATTTTACTCTCTATAAAGGTTCCAGGAACCTTGAAACGAAAGTATTTGTTTTTAGAAGGTCAATTTAAATATCACCTTGATGCCACGCAATGAAAAAGAGAATGACTTAAATTGTGATGACGAGAACAAATTATCATAAATGTAAAAACTGGTTTGGCGTTAGTCACGTGGTGGCTTATAAATATACATAAAAAATTAAGCACTTACTAACATAATTTGTTAGTCAATGTGAATACCGTGTAAGTCATGTTTATGTTACGTGTGTAATATCACTTCGGAAATGACGTCACAATCGAATACGAACAATCAATGTGACGTCACGTCATTGAGAAGCGGATGCAATTTTCATCGTTTCAGAGGCGGCCAAGTGCAAATTATTCGTTTCACAATTTTACAGTTTACTTTATAATATATGATAAAAAGAATCTGCCATTCGTTTCCCTTCATATTAGATTAATGATACTCGTTTTGGATTATCCATAATTGCTCGCCAGATGCTCGCAAACATGAAAAATCCAAACAGTGTATCATAAATCTAATATGAAGGAAAACTTGTGACAGATCCTCTTTATATTAAGTGTTCCATGGCTAAAGATGTACTGAGTTAAAGTGCTACTGACATCTATCTGATACATATATTCGCTCTTACCTACTCAAATCATTGCTATAGTACTTAACCAGGGTAGAGTGTGTACACGTTATGACATTGACAGCGATAATGCACTTAACAGTGGTCTATTACGGATGCATGACCCACTGCACTGACACTTTTCGTATATACATTAACCTCCATTTAATTTCATTTTGAATATACAATATAACAATAGCGAAGATGTGTCAGGACACTTCAGCAGACCAATTAGCCCAATATAATCTGAAATTAAGACGATCGAATTCCAGTCTTGCATCGCTATCTTTCACGCCCAGAACCTTGTTAATGATTATATTCTGTTTATTATTCCTTTTTTATGTTTTTCCCCCCACAAAAGTCATGCAAGGTATGGTTTCCGTTTCAGAAAAGATTCATCAAAGCTACAGTCTTGCCGGAAGAAAATGCATAGGGACGATTCATTGCAGTAGGACGAGTATCCTAAAAGGCCAAATTCTCTTTGGAAACTGTCTTCATATGGCATGGACTGTTTCTAGAACGTAACACTCTGAGCATTCGCACCTCATTCCTGTCGGTGGGTGCGCCAGTGAAGGTAAGGTTGCCGCCATGTGATATCCTGGAAGTGTAGTAAATGTATCCGAAGTTCTGTCCATAACCGTTGTCTTTCCAAACAAGATCTTCCATACAAACTGGTGACGTACTGGTGATCGGAGTCTGTGCGATAAATGATTTTATGAAATTAATCAAATGATAAATTAACTCTAGTCCAATTCTTACTTTACAACATCCAGTTAATATGAAACTGACATGAACGATTAAAAATAACATCACTCAAGAATTCGATTACTAGTATCACTTTTAGGTAAAAAATGAAAACGTCTTTTAGGCGAGCACATAATGTCGTTTAATCTAGGTAGATTATAGCATCTATTGAAATAACTTGCTCATTGGTCATGTTTAACATAAAGTATAGGCGTTTAACAATGTTCTCTTTAGCGAGTAAATGATGTCCTTTTAGAAAATAGCTGGATCACGTTAATTGAAATAACTTGCTCATTGTTCATACTCTTTCATAAATCATGCTAGTTAGTGAGCATTATATTAGTGGAAATTTACAATAATTTAAAGTCAGATATATTTGTAGACAGCTGTCACTTTCATATACATGATTTAGTTGTATATATTGGGTGCATACCTCAACAAAGCCGATAAGCTCCCGTAGTGCAATATAGGATTGTATTTGAATTTTCACTGGACCTAGATCGATGACAGAAATATGCTTGTTAAGGCAGAAGTAAAGTAAAAAATATCCAAACAGTGTTTGCTTGTAATAGACTACAAGATAAAAAAAAAAAAACAATACAACACAATACGTCATCATGGTTTGTGTTTAAGTGTAATAAGCTTGTGTTCCTTAACCATATAAAAAAAACATTTTATAAAATCATAGCTTATTTAGAATAAAGTTTATATGCTACCGCACATAAGATCACGGGGACATGCCATAGATAAAAGTAGGTCACAGTTTATATAAGGTACTATTTTGTATATACTGTGGCTCCCATTTACATATATCTTCAGTTATATACTGAACCATGTGTCACGTCCCTTTACAAATACACGTAACTGTGGTTTGAGTTATACAATGTAGTTAAGGTCAAATACACTACCTTATACGTTATAGTTGTGAATTATGTTTATATTTACAAAGTTATATTTACAAAGCTATATTTACAAAGTTGTATATCCTATCATACATAATGTATATAATTTTCGTAGCCTATGTTTTAAATACTAACGCCTAATACTAAATGTTACCTTACACAAGTATACAAAACTGTACAGGTTTATGATATTTATGTTAGGGTTATTTATCCCCGTTAACAATGTACACTAACTTAACCATTATATTTGTGAATAATGTAATTTTTTAACAGAGTTGTATACTATATTTTATATTATACTTATTTTATGTTCGAGTTAATGCTATATGCTACCTTATATACACTGTAAGTATAAATACAGTTAATGTGCTTTGTGTAATGGTTATACTGTAAAATCATAATTTTTTGTGGGACATTAAATTTCGTTTATTTCGTGGTTAACTATAATCCACGAAATTAAATCCCCACGAAAACATAAATTTGGTATGATATAGATAGGAGGAAATCAGAAATTAGCTGAATGTATTGTCCTTGAAACAGGCTAGTCTATGACAACAACGAAATTTTAACCCAAGTATTTCTATTTACAATGTATTCTAACTTACCCATTGTAGTTGTGATATACACTTTGGATATTCACTCTTTACCTTTGTCATACCAGTATCCCCTAAACATGTCCAGTTAAACTTATGTGTATATTCATAATTATTTAAATATACATGACTATGTGATCGAAGAAAGTATCACCTATTAACTACTTATCTACATAAAGATAAATTATAGAGGGTCTCTTGGAGGAACAGTGACGCTAGATGCTATTTATTGTAACACATTTCACGACCGCATGAGGTGACTTGGGGTACTTCATCTTTCTACCACTTTTTTGCATATCTTTAATTCCTCTCTTGGCATATCTACATTTTACCTATTCTTTACAGGTTTACTCTGTGTGACATTACTCCGTCGATATTAAGGATCCATGTCTCACTGTCGGCAAAACAGTAAAAAATGTCATTATCTTTGTATATTTTTAGTACATGTACATACATCAACCTCCCTTAACTTCGGTTTGGATGGGACTAAACTTGACCAGGCAGTTCAGCTGATTAGAGCAAAAATATTTTGATTCCATTCAGTTAAATGGACAAACAATGAAACGCGATATCGTGCGCTATTTGACCACAATGACGTCATCGATCTGAACATCATAGTACATATCACTGAATGGCATAAATAGCAAAAAATATTACAAGGTAAATACTAAAAATGTTTACAACAATCAAATAAAATATTTAAAAACACCATTTAACAACAAATGGTAATCATTGCACGCGAATTAATGCACAAATAGTTACCTAGAAATCCATCTCTGTTTGTTGACGGTGGGTCGGGAAGGGACGCGTTGTCTGTGTTATAAAATAAAATTAGTTAGTGTATACGGGGAAATTTTCGCCCAGTCAAATGTTCGCTCTTCGCCAGAATAATCCATGTTCGCCCAGTGTTAATTACGCTCTTCTCACGTAATTACTATATATTGGATGTTGTGTACTAATATTCGCTGTCGTGATAATCCGCCATCATTGGGGAGGGAGAGAAAGGCGAAAGTGAAACTGCGGCAAATATTTCTCTGCATACAGTAGTACTTGCGTTATCAAATATGTAGTAAAGCTACGTGAGACTTGTTGAAAGTCGATCCCTAACTTCATATATACCCATGAAAAAGCATAAACGAAATAGCAATGCCGTAATATTTTGGAAAATTACCGGCGGTTCTCATTTTTCCAATACGAAATGCTCTGCTTATGACTGGCGGATCAGACAACTAAAGTATTGCAAGACTAGGCAAGTACCTTTGACTTTCTACATGTGTACCTTGATCTTATTCTAGACAATGATAAGCCAATGACTACCTAACATAAGTTTCTGTGTGTTTGACGATGCTCTTTTAAAGCTACATCTTGCAATTAATTACATTACTTATATTTATTTTGGTTTCTCGATTTTTTTTTGTAAATGACATAATTTTTCATTTCTAACGTCATTTTCCTCTAGTTGACGAAACTATGATTGAAATACACATGACAATATTATTCTATTTACGACTACATTTGTACCTACCAAAAGTAGTCCAAACACCCTTTTTATTACATTTTGTAAACTCTGACATCGTGTACTGTAAATTCTCGCCTTCTTTCAGCGCAAGAAGATCCACTCAAATATTGTTCATATTGCATATAGATAATAGATTTATAAAACAAATGTAAAAACTGTTGCCAATGCGAATAGTTCCACAACGCAATCAGTTCAAAGAGTCACATCGCGAAAATTTTCATACGCGAAAATTATCAAATTCACAGTAATTCATATGACTACTTATAGACAAAAGACAATTTCAAGTACAACTTTTATGACATTCATATTCGAATTTTTCTGAAACGGTTGCTATAAAAATAATTAAGAAAAATATACAAATTGGTCGGATTTTCAAGAAATTGAGAAACCGGAGTAGAAGTAACTTCAAGACAATCGGGAAGCGTATAGGCACTTTCAGTAAACGAGAAAATATTTTCTCGTTTACGGAAAGTGTCGACGATTCCCGATTGACTTAAAGAAAGATTTGTTTCACTTACCTTGCGCTGAGAGCGACATTGTTCGAATCAAATTTCTAGCAGCAAAATATTTTGGTGTAAGTTGTCCATCCTCACTAACTAGTGCGTCGTAATCTGAAAACAATTTTGTTTGTACTTAAAATCAAGTAATTTGCATTCGGTATTGTTGACGTTTTGGTATTAATTGAGATATTTACAGTTATTTGTTAAAAAAATGAACATAACATTTATATAAATACTTTCAATGAAGTAAAATGTTTGTTTTAAACATTAATATATTGAAATGTACATTTGTGAAACGTCTGTAATAGCATTAAGATATACACTGTCAGTGTGATTAAATATTTGCACGTGGAATAAGAATTTCACATTCATTTTAAAACATTGGTATTTAACATTACCCATGCTGAAAATCTACTATAAATTTTAAAACAAAACTGTTATATACCGTATGACGTCACGTCAGAATGGTAACCATCCTTCTCCATATTGGCACCGTTAGTAAAACCGAAGTTTGTTCCTCCATGAAACATGTACAAATTGACCGAGGCCCCCACAGCTAGGATACTTTTCAGAGTGTTGGAAAATACTGAAATGGTCATGTTGAAAATCCGGTATATAATTTCTATTTCGTATAAACTTTTACGATATATTGATTTTACAATTACATGTCAAGTTGACCCTTGGATATAATGTGTAAAATAATTCTCTTAGCTTGCCTCAAGTATAAGATAAATAAGAAATGGTTTGTCTTTTCGCTCAAATACAGAAAAAAAACTTTTAATACAGTCCATTTAGGAAAACATCAGCACATTTTGAACAGTGTTTTCAATGTCCAAATTTTCGAGAAAATAGGGGTCGATACTTTTATTTCTTATGTACTTATTATTTAACTTACGGTGATAAAGTTAAATCAATTAAAAACTTTAAACCAGCTCTTCATTAATAAATTTTGTAAAAGTCCGTCATTGTCAAGAATATACGCGTTTTGTCTCTTGTATAGATATTCCAGCAATTATCAAAGAATGTTGAGCAAATACAAATGCAAAAAACACAAAAAAATAAGAACACAACCAATTTTCTTACTTTGCTGGGTTGGCCTAAATTCAGCATTTTCCATAGTCTGTATGCAACACGGTACTAAACAATCTTGAGCATAAATCATAAATATTCCAGCAATTATTAAAAAAATATTGAGCGGATTCCTGCATTTTATTTTATGATTCACCTAATTTTCAGTATTTTGCAGACATGGCCTAAATTCCAGCATTTTCCATAGTCTTTATGCACTATGATAACGGAAATTCATCAGGATAAGTAATACAAGTGTAAAATGCAGACAAAACGGACCAGAGGAGACGGAAGTACCAGCTAGAAGTGAATACACAGGAGCAAGCTACAAAGCACGGGATGTTTTCATCACTAGTTCCGTTTGCATGGAGAAGGAAAAATTGCATGGTCCGATAAACACTGATATGTTATTACCTTATACATTACAAAAGTCAGTTTTCTTATGTAATCATAGTTCGGACTAGATTGTTATTCTAAGGATTACTCTTTCGCAGCCTCTGTCTTCCACACCTCTTCGCCTCTATCTGTCTCTCTCTTTCAATAAAAGCCAATGTAAATACATATGTACAGTTATATGCCATTATGAAAATTTGTATTAATATTTAGTAGGGAAAGGCATTAATATAAGTTGTTAAACGTGTGCCCATCTGCCATTGTATATAAATTACAATAACATATGTTTGGTTCATTTTGGTTTGGTTTAGTATTGTTTAACGTCCTATCAACAGCTATGGTCATTCAAGGACGGCCTCCCCTGTGTGCACGATGCACGCGTGTAGTGTATGCGTGTGCATTTTTGGCGGCTGCGATATATTCGCGTTTGTCTCCTTGTGATAGCGCGGAACTGATGCCGACATACTGACGAAAACACCCAGCAGGACACCCCACCCGGTCACATTATACTGACAACGGGCGAACCAGTCGTCTAACTCCTAAATTGCTGAGCGTTAAGCAGGAGTAGAAACTACCATTTTTACAGACTCTGGTATGTCTCGGCCAGGGGACAGAACCCAAAGCCTTCCTCACAGGGGCGAACGCTCAACTAAAGTCCAAAAGTGAGGAATTGTCAATGGAGACTCTAGGAAGAAGAAAGTTGTTTAGAAAGAAGAGAAAAGATAAGATCCCAAATTGAGTCGCCTCTTACGATCATGCAATGGAGGCAGCAGGTACAATTCTTGCGCCCTACCTGCAGGGACTAAAATATATTTAAAACATAAAACAAAACTTACCGTCCACAGAGACAGTGTTATGGCCGCGACCCCAGTAGTCGAACCAACCAGCCCAGAACTCCGTGACCATGAGTGGAAAGTTCTCACTCATCCTGAGAATCATGAGGAAGAGCCCGTATCCCTGATGGATATCATTAAAGTTGGCAGTCGGAAGGGCGTCTGTTTTATAATAAACACTCAGTGTAGTTTTATCGATAGCTCATAGCAAAATTGAAGGCACGCGACTAGCTATTTGATTGGTCTCAGGTGAGAAAACATGACCAATCGCAGAAGGATACCTGCCATTTTAAGATTATAAAGGAACGACACCCGACTTTAAAGCCAGTAAGTTTTACCGCAACCGCGTGATTCTTCTAATGTACATGAAAGGTTCAAACTAGTCTTCTTGTCTCATCCACAAGGTGGCGAACACTAAGTCTTCAATTTTGCTATGACATATTCCAGGGGTGCAGAGAGCGAAAGTGAACGTAACACCTGGAGTATCGAGGATGGGTATTACCCTGTTATGTGAGATGAAGGTGATATCAACTTTAAAATTTGGTAATTGATAGAGTATGCGTTAACATGAGTTAAACTGCATCATACAGCTGTTTCGTCTTTCTAGGACTCGTCAATGTGTTAGGGACCAGAAAGTTGTAAATCCAAATTGGCCAACTTATTGTTGAAACAAAGGGGAGGAGAGTAAACCCTCTTATTGTAATGAGGTTCAAAATATAAAGGAGTAACGGTTAATTTCAAACTAAATAATGAGTAAAGTATAAATAGTATGTATTGTGGCTTAAACTTATTTGCCCCTGATGACACATTTGAACCCTTCCAATTCAAAGGTTGGGTATAGCTCAATATGAAATTTCAGGGGTGAATGAGTTAATGGTTACGGCAAACCTCGGGGACTCAGCAAACTACAAGCAGAGTCTGCTCATCTGTATCACGGAGTAAAATGAACGTAAGATACATAAGGATCGAACGGCATTTTTTCTTAATTGTATACCGGCATGAACATAGAAAAAAAGCCGTTCAGACCTTGAAATTAACATTCAAAATATTTAGTTATTATTGACCTGGATAGAGATATTCCCTTTTATTTTCGATAATGAAGTGTCCGTGTCGTCATCGCAAACAGGATTCCTGGAACAGCCTAACGTCACCAAAATGTTGGATTCTAACGGTTCTCTCATGTTAATCGAGGCGGATGGAGAAGCTTCACAAAGACGCTGATCGTGGCTCTATGACCGTAATTCCTCCAGGTAAAGCTTATAGATGAACTTACAGTTGAAATGTAAATATACACGATCGGTAATCGGTACACTGCACAAAACAGCTTTGTCATGGTTTGTATAAAATGGTCACGATGAGGAGCCATACCTTTATAGAAGGGAGCCCGATCTAAACCTGTCATGTTGTAAGCCACGTAACCATCCGAGGTAAAGAACATCTCCACAATACCATTCTTCTGGAGCAGCTGAAAAAAAATCAGATTCAGCAAAACATGCGGGAAATATTAATTAATGTAAGAGTGAACATTTTCGTGAAAGTGCTCACAATTTTCGCGGAAATATAAACATACTTTTACCGTATTTAAATTAATTACTTGTAATCATATGCCCGTTGGTATAGCCCACGTTGCCATATAACATGGTCGTATTACTGTTATGATCAACGGTCGTGTGAAAGTATTGTCAGGGTACTGAGATAAAATTAGCCACATGATAACTATTATAAACGTCTGTTTCTCTTGTTAAGCAAAGATTGCAAATGACCAGTGTCTTGATCCTAAACCGCTGAAAACACCTCACTTAGCCACAATGTGCTGGATCAGTAAAGTCAGCTGTCAGAATATATCGATACATTTCGTAAAATAGCATTCAAATGCTACCGGAAATCAGAGGGACGGGTAATATGTTTACCCATTCCGCCCATCAGTGGATGTTAAAATACGGTTATAAGATGACTCAGCTGGTGCCCCCCCCCCCCTCGTCTCTGTTCATCGATTCCACTTCCCTCCGAACCAAGAGGGCTCTCTCAATCGATGGATCGACTCGTATTTCAAGTTGAAACATCGCTTTTTCCAACACCTTTTTGTCCTCTATAAGTTTAAAAAATGGAAGTAATTCTACACAATGGCAGAAATAGACGTTTGACATTTTGTTATTTGCAGCCGAGCGTTGGGTAAATTATCTTGCCGTTCGAATTCGTGAACGATTTACTTCCCCTTACGGGCGTCGTATGTTTTTTTTAATTCCCCACTTTTCGAACAAAATCGGGGATATTAATTTGGGTCCGTCCGTCTGTCCGTCCGTGCATCTGGTTAAAAAACCCAGATTACAAATGTAGTATATACATCTCTGGTCTCGTACATAAATACCTTATGACAACCGCTAACCCTTCGATACGTGCATGATAGATGCACCTGAGCTTTGAACTTTGAACTTTGAGCTCGATCGATATTGATTGCATTTTCGGATGCTTAATTTGACCTTCATTTCACGCCTCGGTGACTAAATTGGTGACCAATTATAAGTTGTTTTTATATTGATACACAATGAGAGGGGGATATCGATGACGGCGTCTTCTTATTCTGAAATATGATCATTGTTAAAACCGTTTTGTCCTGTTTTGACATGTATCAAAGTTTTAAAACATGTATAATTAATTAAAAGCGGTGTCACAGCTTGAGACAATTAAGATTATTTTAAATTACCTGTTTTAGGAACGCCAAATGTGTTACTTCATCGCTATAGGACCCAAACTCGTTCTCTACCTGGATTGCAATAATTGGACCCCCGCGACTGAACTGAAAAGGATATCAATCAAATCAAACTCATCAATGCTGTTATTTTAATATAAAATCAATCATCAATCATATTATCAACAAAAATGATCAATGTTATGTATCAGGAGAGTGAAAAAGAAATGGACAAGACTGAATTCGAACCACGGATCCCCGAACTGGTCGCTTTAACTAACGTATCTTCCTGGTCACCGGTAGTCATACGTCCCGCTAAAATATGTCCCGCTAAAACCATAATTCAAATGGAATTCAAGAGAGATCAGTCAAAATCAGAAAATCTACAGTGGACATTTCTGGTATTTCGGCTGCGATGGGACAGACTCTGACGCTCATTGATAATTCCCTGACGTGATTAAAGCGTGTTCTCACCTGCAGATCGACTACTTCCTGTAGCAGTCGGGTGAAGAATCGCTCCACAGCCCGTGTGTACCCGGGGTAGTTACTCCTAACGACCATGTGTGGGTCCTTCAGGAGCCAGCTTCAAATCAAAGTAGCAGCGTGCATTCGTAAGGGTTCATATATATGCAAATTGGTGAATACAAATGTAGTGTACTGTTATTTAATTGAATTTAATTGAAAAATAATGGACGCAGGCTGAAAGCCTCTAAGTCCATATCACAAAACATAGTATGTCGAATAATAATAATTATTTTAACTTATATATGTCACAGCGTGTTTGGTTACTTTGAACGCATCACGTGACCCGAAGACAAAACATGAGTCACCGTCACATGATCCTTTTTTCCTGTAGAGTATCTGTTTTTGTGATTCTTGCACACTATCGCACGAGTTATCCCTGTCTTTAGTAGATCTCTAACGCCCGACATTTCCGTACAAAAACAAAGTATGTCTGCTCGCAAAACTGATAATATTTATTGGTGTATTATTGTTATATTTCGATATGATAAACATGTAATACCCTTTTAGAAAGGAAACAAGATTATTTGTTTCCCTGTAAATCATTAATAATCTCGGGGGAACAAAGAATCATGTTTTTTTCTACTACATTACATATACTCACACAATGTTTTATTATACATATATGCTCATATACAAATGTTTGCACATTTATACTTAAAACAGTTTCTTTATGCACATCTTTGTTCAAAATTTAAAAATAAATTCAAAAGTGATTACCCAGGAAGGCCACCAAACTCCCACTCAGCACATATATAGGGTCCAGGCCGCAAACTGACGTAAAGACCGAGCTCGTGTGCAAGTTGGATAAATTGTCTGAAATAAAGTGGAAGTTTAGAATAATAATATTTTCTAGAAAGTTACCTATTTAAGCATGTCTTGACGAATGTCTTATCTGATCACAGCCATGCAAATTGTAAGATTTCGCTTCTAAAGACATGTGAGCGAGGGTATGATTTCTTGAAATTAACAAATGTAAAGGCATATTCATGATGTCAACGGAAATGCTACCTTATAAAATTGCATAAAATAACGTTCCCGTATAAAATATGCAAATGAAAACTGAATATGTGATTAATACTTTTTTTCAAATTGTCATGGTAATAGTACTGAATGACATTTTCCATCCAACAAGAAAGAACCTTTACTTTGTAATAATATTGTAAACCCAACTTCCTCAACATAAAGTGAACAATTGTATTGACAGGTATGACAATATAAATACATATCAAAAGTGGTACTGAAAACCGGGAAATATTTTGCCGCATTATTTTTTTTCCGCCCTTTTCGCCTACCGCAATGAGGGCGAATTTACCGTCAAAGCGAATGTAAATAAACAACATACCCTGTATCGTTATAACATTTGTAGGGCGAAATTTATGCTGGCCGATCATGGAGTTAACGGTTGAAGGACGAATGAATATTTGATTGGGCGAAAGTTTCGAGGTATACAGTAGTACATTAGAGATATACCTTGACGATATCACGTGTTTCCGGATGGTGTTCACTCAACTTCCGGTTACGTTAAGAAATGCTTGTAATAGCATTTCTCTGTGTGTGTGAAACTCTTTGGGACAAAATATTACACACAAAAAAGTAGACACTCTTACCAACGTATATGGTAGGATGTCATTGTCGTTTCTCACGTACGCTTGTAAATTCAACCACAGACACTACCGTAAGATAACTTAATATATAACTATGTAGACAAACCTCAGATTTAGACGACCACTGAAATCGAACTCGCCGGGATAGACTTCGTGTAGGTTCCATGACACGTAGCTGAAATAAACCATCATTATTATTATTTCTTTATTTCCTCCAAATTGAAGAGTTACAAAAATATACAGTGTAGTCAAAATACAAATCAAATATTATTAATTGATACTAACATGCACATAAATACATCGGTTAACTACAGGGATGAAGAGAGAAGTTAATGAATCTTGAATTAGTTTAGTAAATACAGAAAGAATGGTCTCATTAACAGCAAATCATTCAAAATAATTAGAATCCTGGGAATCCTGAGGTTTCCAATGGTTGGGGAAAGCCCTACCAACAAGGTCCGCTCAGGCTTACCCACACATAAACACACACAAAATAAGAGAAAAAATAGTAATTAGGTAGACATTGCTGGTGTAATGCGGATTTACCTCTTCCGGAAATCGTGGTCCGGTTCCCGGATTTGATATTAGACAAGGAAGCACGTTATCCGGTGTTCGTTGAGTTTTACCGCCATCCGGCATAACAAGTGGTGTCATAAGTGGGATTTTGCTTATACGCCCTGCAGGAAGTCCAAAACCCGTTTCTTTTTGTGTAATGTATTGCAATTCGTACCTCAAAGTGGACAGAGGTCTGCTACAGGTAATCGCGCTGCATTGTGTGTTTGTGGGTTGTTACTCGTCATTTAAATGATTATTTTGTAATTTGATTACTATAACTCATTTATTGTTTTCACAAAGTAAGAGCACAATAACTAATTTACTCGGTTTGGGTAATTTACTGTTTTGTGTGCCTATATTTAGCCTGTGTTTCTGTACTTTCGTTTTACATGTATTTTCGTATTGGTGTTCACTGCGAACACTAGAATTGTTTCCAAACGAATCGTTCACTGCGAACGGTCAAATATTATCTTTCAGAGGTCGGAGAAGGATCTCGTAGACTACCTTAAATCACACAACGTGACAATACCACCTCACGAGGCAGATTTGACCCCCCTGCTAGTATCCGACAGCAAAGGAAAGCGCCTTGCAGTGGTACACAGGGGCAGTAATCCAAAACTTCCAATACAGTTCTCAATTAAAGGTGGTGCAAACTCATCAACCCTAGTATCCCTACTAAAAGAACAAATTCCCATCCTCAAGCAGAAATTTGGTAAACCTGTTTATGTTTATTTCTGGGCTGGTACATGCGACATAACCTCAAAGCAAGGCGGTTATATAAACATTTCTGGTACCTGTGTTAACACTGTTCACAAAATTATCAACTGCTACAAAAGAGCGAGGGACTACACAATACAACAGGGGTGCAAAATTCAATTTACTGGAGTACCTGTTTATTCAGTTAGCCTTTACAATGATATCCAAGGTCACCATACTCCGAGCAAGTCTCTAGAAACAGATGCTGAAGTTGCCAGCCAGGTACACTTCTTGAACTCTCAAATTGAACTTCTCAACACAGAACTTGGTACCACAACACTTAAATTCAATGCTGATCTTCGTGATTGTCGAAAAAAGGGAAAAGAGCGATATTTCATAGAATTATTGGAGGACGGTCTCCACCCTGGGGAAATCTTGGCAAGGAAGTGGTTTAGGCGACTTGAATTAAATATTGTGAAAACTTGTTTTGTGGACCAGGACATTTTGGAAGTCCACGTTGACCAACAGGAACTGTTACAGTTAGCATTTGAACAAAATGTGTGATAAAGAACAAGAAGTCACACCAGGGGAAGGAGAGTCTTCAGTTGACACTGCGTCAGCTGCGGCATATGATATGCTTCAATTCGTAATGAAAAGTTTTGATGAGCAGCGTGATACACAAATGAAGATGTTTCGGCAAACTATGGTGGAGTTTGAAGACGAAAAGAAACGAAGCTTCGAGGCACAAAGTGAAATGATGAAGTCCTTCATGCAAGAGACACGTCATGATATTCAAAATGCCATAGGACATCAAGCACCGCTTGCACAGAGTACATTTTCATCTATGGGTCCACAACAGGAATTTGGAAGGTCGACAGACAGAGGATCGTTTGGTGGTTTTGACGAAGAACTCCGGGTGATCCAGGATAGAGAACGCTCATATTCAAGTCCAAACTTAAATGGACAGAACTCTGCACTATCCAGTACCCCCTCATTGGAAAGACAGGATATGGGACGTATGCTGAACAGACATCAAGGAAAGGGTCCTCAAACAAAACTTCCAGTGTTTGAGGGAAAGGAGGATATAGAGGTTTTTATTGTTCCCTTTGAACGGTTAGCAGAGCGTTATAACTGGACAGACAATGAGAAAGTGGACAGACTCTACGAATGTCTAAAAGGAAGGGCCATGTGGTACATCTGCTCCTTACCAAGGGAGATGAGAAGAGATTACAGGAATCTAAAGGATAGTCTGATCAAGCGGTTCGGACGAAGAGACCCACCCACAACAGCGAGATCAAAATTACACGAAGTAAGGCAACGCAGCCTAAGTAATGACGAATTTGGGGAAGAGGTTTGGCGCCTAGTTACCCTTGCTTATCCTAATGTAGATCTCGACTTGCAAGATCAATTGGCTGCAGAGGCATTCCTCAAGGGGTACAAGAACCCCAAGGTATCTTATGATGTGTTGAACAAGAAACCAAAAACTATCAATGAGGCTATTGAAATGGTTACTTCACAAGAACATAACTTCAAAGCCACCATCGGTAGGGAGAAAGAGATACGAGACAAGGCTCGGCGCGTTTCATGGGCTGATGGGGCTGGTGTAAAAAATGTCTCCGATGACGAAGAAGCGTTGAATACACAGCGTGTTCAACTGCCAAACACTGCCTTAGAGTCGGACAACCTCAGTAAATTAGATGTTCGGATGAAACAGCTTGAGGATCTTGTTCGGAATAGCTCGCTAGAGTGTCGCGCAAGATTCGACCAGTTAGGGAACGAACGCCAAAGTGGGTTTAGCAAGGAAGGAAAGGAATGTTACAGATGTGGTGGTAAGGGACACTTCCAAAGAGATTGCAGCTCTAGGAGATCAAGATCGCCCACACCACCGAACAGTCCCCGTTCTCGCTCACCACAGCATGATGTTAAGATCACCCGGACCAATAGGACAGAGAAAAGCATTATCGTCCCAGTAACGGTCAATGGAACAACAACTGAAGCGGTTATTGATACTGGGGCCGACGCCACAGTCATCTCTGAGAAATGGGCAAATGAAATAAATTTGCTGTATGCTAAGCCAAAGAAAGAAATTCGTCTAATGACAGCTGAGGATGGTGCAGAGATGACAGGATTAGGTGTAGTCACTGCGACTCTCCAAATTGGGGAAGAGGTGAGGGAATTACCAGTTGTGATAGCTCCTATCAGAGACAACATACTGGTGGGCATTGATCTACTCCAATCTGTACAGACCATTATCCATACTGGAGAAAAGAACCTGGAAGTCAACGGAAAAGCAATCCCAGGAGACTCTCAGTTGAACAGATCTGCGACTGCTATTGCCAGGAGTATAGTTAGAGTACATGCAGATGTTGTGGTGCCACCAGGAAGTGAGAAAATAATCATCGGAAGATTGGAGACACCATCAGACACTTCTCAAGCAATACTGGAGGCATTCAATCATCATAGCGGAATGCGAGTTGGGTCATGTCTTGTCTCTATGAATCAAACTATTCCAGTGAGAGTTCTCAACCTGAAGGATAGCGAGATTAAACTCACAAATGGCACATTTCTAGGAAAAGTTGACATAGCTGACCTAGCTTGGGACCCAAATATGAGCAGGGAGCCTTCCGTAAACACCAGTGTCGAGCCAGAACATTTCCAAAAGGCCCCTGGAACAAACAGAGAGGTTCCGCTGCATGTACAGGATATTTTTGAAGAGTCCTCAAAAGGACCGTCATCAAATCGAAAAGAGGATCTCTGTATGCTGCTGAATGACTTTCCTGATATATTTGCTAAGCATGATTACGACCTAGCTAGATTCAGCGGAGTCAGACATAAGATTGACACAGGTGAAACCAAACCTATACGTCAACCCGCAAGAAGGACACCATTGGGTTTTCAAGCTGAGGAGGACGCCCATCTACAAAAACTTCTTGACACTGGTGTTGTCATTCCATCTAGTTCTGAATGGGCATCACTGGTAGTAATTGTTCGCAAGAAAGATGGTGGTGTGCGTTGGTGCATAGACTATCGAAAGGTGAATGAGGTCAGTGTAAAAGATGCTTACCCACTTCCAAAAATTGAAGAGTGCCTCGATACGCTTAGTGGTGCGACTCTATTTTCCACCATAGACTTAATGAGTGGCTACCACCAAATTGAAGTTGATGAGATGGACAGATCAACGACCGCCTTTGTCACCAAACAGGGGCTCTTTGAGTACACCAGAATACCTTTTGGCTTATCCAACTCTCCCTCAACTTTCCAGCGTGCAATGGAGCTCGTACGTAGAGGGTTTCAGTGGGTCATACTTCTTATTTAACTGGATGATGTGATAGTGGCATCCAGGTCTTTTGAAGAACATATGCAACATCTGCGTCAGGTTTTCTCCCGGATCCGTGAACACGGTCTGAAGCTGAAAGCCAAGAAGTGCCGTTTGTTTCGTGAGGAAGTCCTCTTCCTGGGACACATTATTAACGGTGATGGAATCTCCACCAATCCAAAGCTGGTAGATGACGTCCTGAATTGGCCTGTGCCAAGCAACTGTAGGGAGCTTCAGTCTTTTCTAGGACTTACCAACTACTACAGACGGTTCGTTCAAAATTATGCAGAGATCGCTCTGCCACTGCATGATCTCACACGGAAGGAGGTAAAATGTGTATGGGAAGACCGTCAGTGTGAGGCATTCGAGGACCTGAAGAAGGCAATTACTATGCTCCGATATTGTCATACCCGTTGGAGAATTGCAAATTTGTCATAGATACGGATGCTTCTAACAGGAGTATAGGCGCCGTTCTTTCGCAAGTCCAAGATGGGGAGGAGAAAGTTGTTGCATATGCAAGTAGACGACTGACCCCCGCACAGGAGAAATATTGTGTGACACGACGCGAACTTCTTGCAGTTGTTGCTTTCCGCCAGCATTTCAAACATTATCTTCTTGGCCGAAGGTTCTTATTACGCACAGACCATAGCAGTTTGTCATGGCTTTTCCGATTCAAGTCACCACAGGGACAGCTGGCGAGATGGCTAGAGGGGGTCAGTCAATACTCTTTTGACATCGAACACCGTGCTGGGAAGCTGCATGTGACGCTGATGCCATGTCACGGATTCCGGATCACGATTCGTGCCCTTGCTACTTCGCGGGTGCCACCGTTGAAACTCTACCCGGTGGAGGATGTATGTACTGTGCAAAACTACAGACTGCGTGGGAAAGATTCGAGGAGGATGTTGACGATATTGTGCCTATAGCTGTTCGTTCGGCAGAGGTAACTGCTGTCGAAAAACACTCTGAGACCGGAGAGGACTCTAATACGAAGGACGATATTCCTCAATGTAACTGACTACAGACCAAAAGTCCGATGGAACTTTACGAAGAACAGATACAAGATGAGGATCTAAAACAACTGTATTCATGTGTGCAAGCAAGAAGTTCTGCTCTGCGGAAGTATCTACTAACCCTTCAGCAGTTCAAACTGATACACGATGTTCTCTACTACCAGTGGGAGGCAAATGGACAGGAGTCACTGCGACTCCTGGTTCCATTCCAGATGAGAAAAGAGATCATGCAGGCATGTCATGAAGCTGTTTACTCCGGTCATCAAGGGGAGAAGAGAACTCTGGAACGAGTGAAGAAGGACTTTCACTGGCACAACATGTCGATGGATGTGAGCATATTTGTTCGGAAATGTCATGTATGTGCCGCTGAAAAGAAGAGTAGTAGAACTATGAGAGCACCTCTTCAGACCTACATCTGCGGAGCGCCAATGGACAGGATACAATTGGATGTTGCTGGGCCTTTTCCTATTCGTGATGCTTGGAACAAATACATACTTGTCATCATCGACCAGTTCACCAGGTGGGTCGAGGCTTACCCAATCACACAACAGGACAGTAACACGACAGCAAAAAAAATGGTCCTGGAGTTCATCTCTAGATTTGGCGTACCCCTGGAGATCCACACGGATCAAGGACGAAACTTCCAAAGCGCCCTGTTCAAGGAAGTATGCCGGTTACTCGGAATAGCACAAACCAGGACTACGCCCTATCACCCTTCGTCTAATGGTCAGGTTGAGCGGTTTAACTGCACGCTGTTGCAGATGATCAGGTGTTATCTAGATCATGGCCAGGCGCATTGGGATGAGAACATTCCCCTTCTTCTGTCTGCTTATCGAAGTACGCCACACCCTGCGACAGGATTTACACCAAACCTGTTGATGCTGGGTAGGGAGGTCCATTCTCCTCCCGAGCTGATCTACATGGATCCGGATATTTCGCGTTCCTCTGATGACGCACCTACCTACCTCGACCGGATGTTAGAGGGTATGCACATTACAGAGGAATTAACTAGGAAAAAATTGAGGGCTTCAAAGGTACATCAGAAAAAAATATATGATCTACGGGCTAGGGGAAGAGAGTACCACGTCAGGGATCTTGTATACGTGAAGAACCAATCACGATCTGTTGGACAATCTCCGAAACTCCAATCTGTTTGGAATGGTCCTTTTGTGATCACCAAGAAATTTGGTCCGGTCGTGTATGAGGTCCGTGGCCGCAAGAAGGCTTCAGTTCTTCACCATGACCGGCTAAAACGATATTTGTCTGAGGTTATCCCGGCCTGAGTTACCAAGATAAAGCATGATCTTGGTACCTCCTCTCTCCCAACGATTGCTGAGGAAGACCATGTTCCAACCATGGATAAGAAGTTCGGGACAGAGGAAAACCACCACGAGCCGCAGAACAGCCAACAATCGCTGACAGCCAGTTTACCAGAGGAAGAGTCAAAGACACCTGTGCCAACTGGGATGTGTTCACAGCGAACCATCTCAGATGAACCATCCCGGTCCTCGCGTTACGGCCGGGCATATAAGCAGCCTACCAAGCTTGGCCTTTAGCAGGAGCTAAAGGAGCCTGGAAGGGGGTGGTGTAATGCGGATTTACCTCTTCCGGAAATCGGGGTCCGGTCCCCGGATTTGATATTAGACACGGAAGCACGTTATCCGGTGTTCGGTGAGTGTTACCGCCATTAAAAGGTTGCACTGAAAACTCGGACGATCTTGGTGTTGTTATTGAAGAACACAGCCAGCCATCCGGCATAACACTATTGTACGAATGTTTGTACGTGTTATATCATTATTAACGCTGATACAACAGCAACATTTTGTCCATAAAAATAGCATCATGCAGTACAAAGGTTACATAATCAGTTGAGCTTAATATGTGAGGAAGGCTACCCCTAGTAATACATGAATTAAATCATAATCAGACAAAGAGTATAAGAACACGGCAAGGTCTATATCAAAAGCCGTACTTATAAGACACCATAGATCGTCTCTTAGACTTTCAGTTTTTGTACAATGGAGTACTATATGTGTTATACAGTCATTATGTAAATTACCACAAAAATGGCATAATTCAATAGTGTTTGTTGATCTTAAATAAGCACATTAGCCAGGTTTTGGCGGTGGAGGAAAACCGGAGTTCCCGGAGAAAAACACCGAACTACGGCCAGTACCTGGCGACTGACCCTTAAGGTCTCGAACCTGCGACCCGGTGGTGGAGGGCTAGTGGTAACTGAGTGTCAGACGCCTTAACCTCTTGGTTACAGCGGCCCAAACTCCAGTACCGATCACAGGAATGGCCGGATTAAAAGAACTCATTATTTGTTTTTAATTTGTTTGGTACTGTATGAGCATCACTTTGCTACAGCTACTGCATGTATTCAATCGCTACTGTATGACAGATATCTTTGTATGTTTATTTCTCCGATTTTGTTCATGACAAAAAGAGCATTTTAAATGCAAAACACAATGTCATAACGAAAATGCCATTTTATTAAAATGATACAAACCTGTTGCTTTAATTAATTGCGTGTACTTTTTCATATACCATAAAATATCTGGAAACGGTGGATAAGAATGCTTTTTTGTTGGCAAAATAACAGGGAAACAACGTTTGCATTTACTTACATAGTTACTGTGTTCAATCCGCATGCTTTCAATTTCATCAATCGGTCTCTCCAATATTCTGGCAATACTCTGAAATAATGAATGCTCCCGCCAAGAAGTTGGAATGGTTTCCCGTCAAGGTAAAACTGTCTTTTCCTGAAACTCAAACTTGCGTTACTAACATATGGGAGACCGTTTGGTGCTTGTGTCGCCTTCGGGTATTCAGTCGGCACGAGGAAGCGTCTGTTTGGTACACCTGGAATGTTGACTTCACACTGAACACAAAATATCGAGGATAAAACGAACAAAACAAAATGCCAATCCATCTTTTTTCCCTTCCGTGGGTGTTCTTCCTATTTAGATATTCCAGGATATTTCAAACTGCGCAATACGGCACATGAAGCGCGGTATTATCTTTGCAAGGCAATTATTATTTACTAAATGTATCTTAGCGTCACAACGTTAACGCTGCCATTTACCACACGTCCTATCGCAGCAGATAGCACAATTTTTGCAGACAGCGTGTTCAATTTATAGTATGATTTCTACATAATAGTTAAGGAACCTTATCAGTCGATTCCAGACAAGTGTACGACCTTTGAACTATTGACCCAAGTTTGGTTTACAAACATATATCCAGGGACATGTAAACTGTTGAGTATTTTTTTTATGAATAGTTAGACATAATTGAACCTATTATTTTTGCTTTTATGATTTTTCAATATCATTGCCATGCGCCTTTGACCACATGTGACATTGCATGATGTATATTTCAAAATGAATAGGTTATTAAAAACATCTAAGTTTCATTGATATATACTGGTAAAATATGGTCGATTTTTCGTAATGATTTGCCATTGAAAATTGTAGAATATAGTTAAAGATGTTTTTCTAGGATCCAAAAAATTACTTTCAAACTTTCTGTCAATATCCACAAGGAAATCAAATACAAAAAATTGAAGCACCGGAAATCAAAAATCAAATAAATAAATTACACCTATACATCCAATATCACGGATTTATCACTGGTCAGTTTTGTAAGTTACCCCGTTGTCACCTCTTGGGTTAGCCAATGTTCAAGGTTTTCTTTGTGTTCTTTGCGCGATCGGTTATTTTGGCGCGACATACTGCATGACGTCTTGACGAAGCAGACAAGACAGAACAGATAGGAAATTTACTAATTTGCCGGAATTAAACATCCATATTTTAAACCATCTGCTTCCATTCATTTTTTAATGCTGGTAGACGATACGATCATGCTAGTAATCTTGTACAAAATCCTCCACTGTTCACTGCTAATTTGTGAACCGCTTTGAGACGACCTACGATCTAGGTTGTGATAAAGCGTTATATAAGAACCTCGAATTATTATTATTATCATTATTATTACACACACTTTAGTTTTGGTCCAAATTTAGCCGTAACAAATTAGCAGGTCCCTGTGGTCTGCCTTGTCACCGATTTTAGTACGGCTGTGATCTTCCCTTCTCCCCAAGATGAACATATCCTGAGAAAACGACAGGTCCATGTGACTTGTTTATGTTGAGTTGTTTAATATTCTTTGATCTTTTCTACTGTGTCTGCCTCTTTAAATGATGAACGTGACACGCACACAGCTGATTGCACTTTAAAATTTGGTAATAGATACAGCATGTCAAAAATAATTACACTGCCCCTTACAGCTGTTTCGCCATATTTCGTTCAATTAGTGGTACTACGGGTCAAGAAAACGCCTTAAATGTTCCGGAACACGTGAAGAGATATAGCAAAAAGAGAAAGATAACTTTAAAAGCATTATGCCATTACACATTTTGTTTTCTAATCTTTAGCTATCGAAGTAGTAGCAATTTTATGCATTGTACAGCAGTATAATTGTTAAATAACTTGTGTGACAGATTTTAATGTACATAGGATTACAAGCGCCTTCTAGATTCACGCTAGAGGGAATTTCCCTATAGCTCAGTGGTAGAGTGTCCGACCAGGAAGTCTTGGATCGTGGGTTCGATCTTCGGTATTAGCACACTACTTTCTTTTCTGTTACACATGTATCACCCTAGAGTATATAATTCGGTGTTGTTTACTTTTGTAATAGTGGTATAGCTAGTTTTAATCCTGATGAAATCTTTGTTTAAACAAAGACATACTGATGACATGCAAAAGATAGGAATTAACTGATATTAATAAAATAAAATAAATGCCGTCCCTTTTCATTCGATACAAACTATGTAAAAACGAAACTTTCACCGGAATGATAGTGCAATCATAATATCACTGTAACGACTGGCAACTTCACAAAACCATCTGCATAATACATAACCTAGCTGTGACTGCAGACTAAGCATCTTATGACTTAAAACATGTCTGCAAAAACTAACAATTTGCCTGCTTGCAAAGGAACTAGGCATGCTTAATAACAAAGGGAATCCAGCCTAAACGTTATCGATTTTTTACAGACGAAAAATTCGCTCATCACGCTCATGTACTGCAACTGTTACGGAGACCCATTACAGATACAGATATGGACTTGCTTCGTTTGTATTGGAATCCAAAACTTTACAAAACTCGTTAATAAAGAAGTTTAATCGCTTGCTCTTCTAGAAGCTCAACCACGCCATTATCCGAACTTTTAACTACCTTTTTAAGTACTATAAAATCAGGGTGTGAGGTTACTGTCATACTGTGCTCAAATTAATGTACAGTGGGTTTTAAAAACAATTACTTAATGTAGAGCATTATCTCCGTAAAGGTGTTTCTTCTTTCAAAACTATTGACTTATCCCACTTTTTACGCTTCCATACGTCCTCATATCAAAGGGGAGGAATGTCTTGGTAGCGATTTATATAGCCAGAAAGGGGAACGGCGATAGAGGAATGTCTTGGTAGATATTTATATAGTCAGAAAGGGGAACAGCGATAGAGGAATGTCTTGGTAGAGATTTGTATAGCCAGAAAGTGGAACGGCGATAGAGGAATGTCTTGGTAGAGATTTGTATAGCCAGAAAAGGGAACGGCGATAGAGGAATGTCTTGGTAGAGATCTATATAGCCAGAAAGGGGAACGGCGATACAGGAATGCCTTGGTAGAGATTTATATAGCCAGAAAAGGGAACGGCGATAGAGGAATGTCTTGGTAGATATTTATATAGTCAGAAAGGGGAACGGCGATAGAGGAATGTCTTGGCAGAGATCTATATAGCCAGAAAAGGGAACGGCGATAGAGGAATGTCTTGGTAGATATTTATATAGCCAGAAAGGGGAACGGCGATACAGGAATGCCTTGGTAGAGATTTATATAGCCAGAAAAGGGAACGGCGATAGAGGAATGTCTTGGTAGATATTTATATAGTCAGAAAGGGGAACAGCGATAGAGGAATGTCTTGGTAGAGATTTGTATAGCCAGAAAGTGGAACGGCGATAGAGGAATGGCTTGGTAGAGATTTGTATAGCCAGAAAAGGGAACGGCGATAGAGGAATGTCTTGGTAGAGATCTATATAGCCAGAAAGTGGAACGGCGATAGAGGAATGGCTTGGTAGAGATTTGTATAGCCAGAAAAGGGAACGGCGATAGAGGAATGTCATGATAGAGATCTGTATAGCCAGAAAGGGGAACGGCGATAGAGGAATGGCTTGGTAGAGATTTGTATAGCCAGAAAAGGGAACGGCGATAGAGGAATGTCTTGGTAGATATTTATATAGTCAGAAAGGGGAACAGCGATAGAGGAATGTCTTGGTAGAGATTTGTATAGCCAGAAAGGGGAACGGCGATAGAGGAATGACTTGGTAGATATTTATATAGTCAGAAAGGGGAACGGCGATAGAGGAATGTCTTGGTAGAGATCCATATAGACAGAAAGGGGAACGGCGATAGAGGAATGTCTTGGCAGAGATCTATATAGCCAGAAAAGGGAACGGCGATAGAGGAATGTCATGATAGAGATCTGTATAGCCAGAAAGGGGAACGGCGATAGAGGAATGGCTTGGTAGAGATTTGTATAGCCAGAAAAGGGAACGGCGATAGAGGAATGTCATGATAGAGATCTGTATAGCCAGAAAGTGGAACGGCGATAGAGGAATGTCTTGGTAGAGATTTGTATAGCCAGAAAGGGGAACGGCGATAGAGGAATGACTTGGTAGATATTTATATAGTCAGAAAGGGGAACAGTGATTTTTTATATGGTAAGAAGTATCTTTTAGTATATTTTGTGGAAACGGCACAAGTATGTGTATAAGTTCTTTATGTTTTCCCGATACGTTTGCGTAATAAAGATATTTCAAAAATAGGTTTTTTGAAATAACACTTTATAAGTTACTCGTCACGAAATATACCGCCTTGTTCAAAACCTTCAATGTTACCGTGGTGTAATGGTCAGCAGCTTGATATCCAATTAGTCGATTCGGGTTTGATCTCAGTAGAAGAATGTCATCAATATCTAAAGAGATTAATTTTCAGTGTTATCAAATGTAGTTTATTTTTATACTCAATAGAAACGTTTATTGTTGGTATCTTTTCAATGGGTTGAAGCATTAACGAGTCGACCACACTTAATTGAATTTATAATATAGAGTTTTTTTTAGTTTACAACAATTATGAAACAAGTTATTGCAACATATTAATCACGCTAAGTCATGTTTTCCCGGATGTTAGTGGGCGGATGGTCTTAACGTGGGAGGAAACCGAAGCAGCCGGAGGAAACGCACGTGGTCGGGGAAGGTGACCCAGGCCTTTTCACGACCGATTGGGGAAGCGAACTCCGGCCGCCTTGATAAAAGGAGGGTGCATTATCCACTGCGCGACCCGACCACCATCTAACTTATCATAATGTCATTTTTGACCGCAAGACATGTTACGGATACTTAAATAATTTTCTGTCAGTCCTGAGGCCAATAGATCCAATCGTCCTTCAGTATAACTATTATAACTAACTACACTACTTGATTTGAGGTTGCCTTCATGTTTTTATATTTTATCTTTATTTCTTAGTTACTAAGTATTTACGTGTATCCAATATCAGTTACGTGGTAGCTATTCTTTCAACGTTTTATATGGATTGACAGGTCTTCAGGTTGTCAGTTGAACATAAGAAATACCAACTTGGATACGTCGGACAATTTAAGTCATTTACCACATTAGGTTTTATTACAGTCAATTTCGTACCAAATCTATTATTTACAATGATTTCCTTGAATTCATCCTTAAGATTTTTTAGGACAGTATAACTTTGGATTTGATAATCCCATAAAAACAGATTTTGTTGATTTCAGTGATTTTTATAGAATCGATTGATCTCTAGAAAATACATGTTTTGCATATCACCCGTGATAGCGCAGTGGTAAGAGGACTGGTCTTGTAAACCAGGGGTCGTGAGTTTAATTCTCACTGGAGGCTTGACAATTTTTTTTCATATTTCATGTGTCTTTCTATGTTTTGATATTTTATTGAAATTTTGAAGACACACAAGTCAATATATCTAGAAATCTAACGCTGTTGTACAGGACATATTAGTCGGTGTTTGTTAGCTATTGGGTAGGCTG